CCAGTGACAACAAGATTCTAAGCTGCCGGTCAGAAAGACCTCGTTTACCCCTTGAGTAAAGCACACGTAGCTCACTGGTGATGCAAGGCTGAAAACTGTGGTTCCAAAGCCCCAGGGTGTGGATATTTTACTATTAGGAATGCAAGTAAAGACTCCAGGAAAAGACCGAACTGCTGTGAGAATTCCAATCCTTCCCTGCTGAAGCTCTTTATGGTTCCCTGTTCCCATCAAGTCAGAGCTGACATCACAGGGCTCCAGTCAGAGGTGGTCGCTGAAAAAGGGGAGGCAACACCCCCATTATGGAAATAAATGCAATTTCAAGAGCTCCATAGGGATGCCTCTGCGATTTTTGTGCTCTTAAAGGAACCTGGACAAATGCTATGACATGGAGGGAAAAACCAAACGGTCTTTAGTTGATCACTCAGCAACTGCATCAGCTAAGCCAGAACCAGGGAACCCTGAGGTACCCCCTGTGCTACCTCCAATGCTTCTCTGAGCTGTTCCCTCCTCCCCAATCTGTCCTGCGTCCTCCTGCTTCCACTCTGTCCCTGTGGAATCCCCCTGTCCCTGAGTATCCCCCATCTCCTCAGGACTTGTCTACACCCACAGCTCTCTGCTCTCCTGGGCCCTGCCACCTACTCTGCCATGCTCCCACAGGCTACGTGAACTTCCTTACATCACAGGACCCCTCTGGGATCCCAGCCTACTCATCCTGCGCCGACGCAGAAGCTGACACACACAATCAACTGAGCAAGGATTGCAGGAACTCCGGCCTGAAAGCCTTCAGTCTCGCGAGAGGTGGACCAGTCACTGCTGTGTGCTGCCCCACTGGCAACGACCACTACCTCCCTCCTCAGAACCTGACGTCTGGGGCTGGCCGAGTAGGAGCCACTGGGCTATGGAAAATGGCAATAGTGACATGGCATTCTGGTTTCAAATATGGATCTGTGCCTCCCCGGGAGCCGGGGGAGGCAGAAATCCATATTCAAATGGCAATTTTAATTCACCTCTTGAAACAAACTGCATTGCACACAACCTACTGTACTGGCCTTAGGTGATTAATGCCACATGTCAAAATTCAGACTTGATGTGAAAAGTACTTTGGAGAGACTTTGAATAAAATTGATATTTGCAAAAGAATATTTCCACTATGAAAATCAGAACTGGAAAATTTAGAAGTGTAATGTTCCATCTGGAATGACTGCAGAGATTATTAAAAAGAGGAGAGAATGAAACAAGCCATTCAGCGCCAAAGGAAAATGCCCAAGCCGAGTCAGACACACAGGTAGCCAAGAGAGAATAAACACACTGCTCGTCACAGAAGCTAAAATCATTTCTTGCAGATGAAAATGTTCTGAAATAAATAAATAAATATATAAAATGTCTTTTATATCAAAGCTCTGGGCTGGAGCGTTGGCACAGCGGGTAGGGCGTCTGCCTTACAAGCGGCCAACATGGCCGAGCCGAGTTCGATTCCTCAGCCCCTCTCGGAGAGCCCGGCAAGCTACCGAGAGTATTCGATATGCCAGACACAGTAACAACAAAGTCTCCAATGGAGACGTTACTGGGCCCGCTCGAGCAAATCGACGATCAACGGGAGGGCCTTTACCTTACCTTACCTATCAAAGCTCTAACTTTTGCAACATCTTCACTGTCTATTAATATTACTTCATTTTAATATATGTCCCCAAATTAACCACAGGGCCTGCCAAGGTTAAGATCTTCACATTTTTTAGTAGCTTTATTTAGGATATTATTCCATCCCCCATCACTGTATCACCATATCACTGTCATGCCATTGTTCGTCGATTTACTCGAGCGGGTGCCAGTAACGTCTCTATTCCTCCCGGAGCTTGCCAGGCTCTGCCTGTGCGGGCGGGATACTCTCGGTAGCTTGCCGGGCTCTCCGAGAGGCATATATTTATATATTTCTCCCTATGATTTGTTGCCTACTGTCTGAACCCCATCAAATATGGTGTGACAATTATGGAAAATGGGTAGAAAATGTCCTATAAAGCGGCCTGGAGCGTGGCGGCGGTTGGGTAGTGGAGGTCGGCTGCCAGGACTGGTTCCCTTGGGGTGGGGGGCTCTCACCCGCCCCACTCTGGGGCGCCCCAAGTGAAAACTGCCTGGCGCGGAGTCCCCCATCACCCTCCAGAAAAATCTCAAAATATTCAGGAGAATATAAAACTGGGAGTTTTCCCTTTAAAATGAATAGATGAAAAGGATCCAATTTCTCTTTTTAAATAGGTGGAAAATAAAGCTGGGAGAGCTAGCTATGAGTGGACTTGAGAAGCACATACTGAAATTTCAATTCTAAAGAGTATTTCTGTTTTGATACAGAATGAGAGAAGCGATAGGCTGAAAGATGTGTCTGTCCAAGCCCTGGGGCATGGCAGTTCTGCTGTGGCAGTGGGCGGGTGGCCCAGGACGCTCCTCCCTAAGCATCCTTAAGCACTTAGCACAGAGCAGATTCTTCGTGAGGGAATGTGCATGGGAGTGAGCCTGCTTTCATGCTGCGAGGAAACAAGTCTGAAGCAGAGGTAAGCTGCAATGGCCCTGTTTATCTTTCCAACCTGGTATCAGGAAACTTCTTACTTCTGTTACTTTAAGAATGGCAACTTTGGGGGCTGGAGACATAGTCCAGGGAGTAAGGATCTTGCCTTGCATGCGGCTGACCCAGCTTGGATCCTGAGCATGCCCTGAGGATCCGGATCCCCTAAGCACTGCCAGGAATGGTCCCTGAGTGAAGAGTCAGGAGTAACCCCTGAACACTGATAGGGACGGCCTCAAAACAAACAAAACAAAACAAAAAGGTGCTTGCCTTGTAAGTATCAGACCCCAATTTGATCTCTAACACTACACAGCGTTCCACAGCAAGGGAAGAGTAGTGACCCCCTAAAGCATAGAGCCAGGAGTTGCTCCTGAGCACTGCCAGGTATGGCCCAAAAGCAAAAAAAAAAAAACCAAAAAACAAAAAACAAAAAACAAAAAATAAACAAAAACCCCTCAAACCAAAAAAACCCCAAATTCAAGAATGACAACTTTGGCGCCAGAGAGACAGTACCAGAGGTAAAGTACTTGTCATGCATTGCATGTGGTTGATCCTAATTCTGCACCACACACAATCCCTAGAGCTCCAGTGGGTATGGACCAAGTCACTCCTACCTGAAACAAAACAAAAGAATGGAATTAAGAAAAAAATTAGAGCTAGGGGTTGAATCCAGGATCATGTACTTTTGAAGCATGTGCTCTACCACTGAGTCCTGGCCCAAGAATGACCACGTGTGTGTGTGTGTGTGTGTGTGTGTGTGTGTGTGTGTGTGTGTGTGTTGGTTTGAGCCATACTTGACAATGTTTAGGACTTACTCCTGGCTCTGTGTTCAGGAGATCAAATACAGCAATGGAGATAAAACCGGGGTTGGCCACATACAAGTCAAATGTTTAAGTCCTGTATGATTTCTTCTGCCTCAAGAATACAAGTTTTGAAAAACTATATCACTGTCTAAAACATTTTACTTGGCAAATAGTTTGAAAATAGTTTGAGCAGGCTCCCAAATTTATACTGTGTGACTTTGATGAAGTTTACTGCCTATGGAAAGAGTATGGGGCTTTCTTGTTTATTTTATTGTATTTCGCTATTGTGGCAGGAGCCACACCAGGCAATACTAAAGGTCAAGCAGAACTGGGGATGTAAATCTACCACTGGAGTCACATCCCCAGGATGCGATTTTTGTTGAAATATTTTCATTGCTCTGGAAATGGACTTCTAATAGAGAGGGGAGGACTTCAGCTCACCAGACCAGACCCCATTCTTTTGCTAAATTTGTTAAGAGAGCACACCTCTCCCTCACTGGTCAGCCTATTGGCTAGGAAGGTGTCCACTTTCTCTTGACCAAGAAAAAGGTCACTGTCACACTGTCACTGTCCTCCCATTGTTCGTCGATTTGCTCGAGCGGGCCCACTAACATCGTGAGACTTGTTACTGTCTTTGGCATATCGAATACGTCACGGGTAGCTTACCAGGCTTTGCTGTGAGGGCGAGATACTCTCGGTAGCTTGCCGGGCTCTCCGAGAGGGGTGGAGGAATCGGACCCAGGTCGGCTGCGTGCAAGGCAAATGCCCTATCTGCTGTGCTATCACTCCAGCCCAAGAAAAAGATCAGGGACTCCATTTACTCCAGCCAGACACCTTCTCCAGCCCCACGACTCTGACCCCATGCACTGAGAAAGGAAAGATTCAATCAGAGGCATATCATGTGCTACTCTAGCTGCAGCCCAAACACTGCCCCATATCAGACGTCTCCCAGACTGGTTCTTCAGTGGTTCCGCCAGCAAGCTCCCCCATTCCACCCCCAACCCCCCTTCCCATGTGCTGCACTCTTCCTCTGGGTGAACCTGACTGAGTCTGTCACACAGGTCTGCCTCTTGCAAAGGCACTCTGCAGGTTCTCACCGGCCAGTACCGTTAAGTGCCCGCCAGCTGGATCCCTTCATTAGGACATGGATCCTTAAAATAATCACATTAAGTCATTGAAATGTTTCCTCTAGTTCTCACCAGCTCCCTTCCAGTCCCAGAGGACAGTGCATTTTTGATGATGGAATTATAAATTAAGCAGATTTCTATTCCCATCAGAAAAGAGCTTACAGTTTGATCCTGTGTAAGGGGAAAGAGCCAGATTTTCCTTCAGAAACTCAACAAGCAGAAACTCCTGCAACTCAGAGCGAAAGCAGGGGCACACAACACTTCCCAAGCTCCATCGTTCGCTGGTTTTGCGACTGTGTTTTGGTGCTGGGGATCAGAGCCCAGGGGCTCATATATTGAAAGCCTCTGCTTTACCACTGAGATACTTAATTCCTCAGCTCAGAGCTCAAGTTTCAAAACAGAAAGTCAATCAGGTGACGAATGAGACACAGGGTGATGTGGGTGAGAGAACCATGAATTCAGGGACCCGGTGTCACAAGGTGTGACCGGCCTGGGACGTGACTCCCCACTACTCACCTCTGCCGGGGACCAGCGCCTTCTGCAAAGCCGCCTTCAGTGGGCTGTGGCCGTGCAGGAGCCTGTGGTCTGGGGAGATGGCCACGTGGGAAGCGCCGTAGATGGCCTCGGGAGTGGCTGTGTAGGCACTCAACTTTTCTCCTGTGACTTGCCCATTCACCTGGCGGGAGGAACACAGACTCCTTTCACTCTTCCTCTGGGACTGTGTGCTCCTCAGCCATGCCCCTCTCCCACCCACTCTCACCCCCAAACAGTACAGGAGCACCTCACAAATGGCCCGAGGATGCGGTGTCTGGGTAGGGGCAGAGAAGGGCAGGCAGAGAGGAGAGTGTTCCCCTTTCAGCACCTAGCACCTCCCACCAGGCGGGTGCTAGGTCCCCCGAAGGGCAGTGCGTGGACAAGCTCCCTCAGAAAGGCCCTTTCTGGTTTTCCTGACCTCTGCTCAGGAATCAAAAACAAAGCCAGAACAGAGGCCAGAGAGAGAGTATAGCGGGCAGGGTGTTTGCCTTCTATGCAGCAGACCCAGATTCTACCTCCAGCCCCCCAAAGGGGGTTTGACTGGGACTCAGGGGAGGGAGGGAAGGATTTGGAGCTGAAGCAAATGAGGTACATAAGCCTTGAACGGACAACCCTCAAAGATGCTCTAGATCTGCGCTATCCACTACAGCAGTCAGCAGCAAGACAAAGCTATGGAGCACTTGCAATGTGACCAAGATGCTGAATGATAGAGCAGATCTGGGGCCAGAGCGGCAGTACAGCGGGTAGGGTGTTGCCTTGCATGCAGCTGACCCTGGTGCGATCTCCAGCATCCCATACAGTCCCCTGGGCACTGCCAGGAGTAATTCCTGAGTGCAGAGCCAGGAGTAACCCCTGAGCATCATCGAGTGTAACCCTCCCCTCCCCAAAGAAAAGAAGAGAAGAGAAAAGAAAAGAAAAGCAGATTTCATAGGGGTGTAGTGCTTGCCTGGCACACAGCTGACCCCTGTTTGATCTCCAGCATCACATATGGTCCCCTGAGTACCGCCAGGAGTGATCCCAGAGCTAGGCATTAGCCCTGAGCAGCACTGGGTGTGGCTCAAACTGTCCCCCACTAAAAAGAGAGCTAATTTCAAAGACAGTGCTAACACAGACTGTAAACTCTTCCCTTAATAATCTACTCGAGGAGTCTCCAAATAGTGCCCAGGAGATCTGACCGCCCTACTGGTGATTCCTGGTCAGCTGGGCTGGTAGTTCAGTATAAACCCTTGATGATTCAAAGTTGCTCAGGCCCTGCAGTACTGAAGGATTATCTGGGCCACCCCAGAGGCCTTCAGGATGCACCTGGCACGTGGTGCCAGGGACTGAACTCAGGTTGGGCACTAGCTACCTTTCTCCCAGCTCCTTAACAAAAACCAATTTTTTATTTTTTATCAATCACATCATGAGACTACAATATTTTAGATGTAATGGGTTAAATAAGATATTATTAAAATCAGTGTCTCCAGGGGCCAGAGAGTATGGCGGGTAGGGCACTTGCCTTGTACGTGGCCAACCGAGGTTCAATCCCCAGCATCATGCCTAGTTCCCATAGCCCCGCCTAGAGCAATCCCCGAGTACAGAGCCGGGTGTAAGTCCTGAGCATAGCAAGGTGTGGCCTCCAAATAAAACAATACGAAGCAAAAGATTATTAGCATCTCCAGCTACTTTGAACTGATTCATTTTCTGTAGTGCAGGGAGCCATACCTAGTGGTGCTAAGCGGTCCCTGCTGGCAATGCTGGGGGACCATGTGGGACTTACAAGTGACCATATATATGCAAGGCAGGTGCTGTAAGTCCTATACTACTCCTCAAGGTCCTGTTTCTCTGCATTAAAAAAAACAAATAAAAACCACTAATAGAAAATTTGAAAGGAAGGAAGTATATCCCTTGAATATTTTCTACTGAACCGCACTTCTGTGGAGTGGCTGGTCTGTTCCCCATGCCCCAAAACCACAGTGTGAGTGTGTGTGTGTGTGTGTGTGTGTGTGTGTGTGTGTGTGTGTGCGTGTGTGTGTGTGTGTGTGAGAGAGAGAGAGAGAGAGAGTGTGTGTGAATGCACGCAAGCTGGAGATGCTGTAGCTCGGTCACCTTTAGCATGAAATCCAGATGGCAGCCCGCACAGTCCCCGATCCAGTGGGCCTGCATGCCTTTGATTCCATACCACTCCGGAAGGTCTGTCAGCGCATCCCGCAGGGCCTGCAGGAATGAAAGAACAGAGGGACAGGGGTAGAAGCAGCAGGTGTAGGACGTGAGGCTTGGTGGCAACACGACGAGAGACTCAGGTATTAGCTCCTCCCCTACCCACTTGCCAAGTCCCAGGAGCTCGGCAAATGTCAGATTCAGACATGCTCATTACCACGCAGTTCAGGGATATTTTTGTCCTTTGTCCCACAGTAGGTCACCATCCATTAGGGGTATCTTGGGTGAAGTGGTTGGGATGAGACCACCCAGCACCACCGCAGGCAGCTGTAAAGTTCCACCTTCAAGGAGCACCAAAGAAGGAGGGGCACAGGCATGAGAATAGGAGGATGACCCCAGGGGGGCACATGGACAGTGCTAAAGCTGAGGTGGGGGCCCCCAAGACCCTGTGTGAACGCCATAGAGGAGGGGCGGAGCCCCGGGGGAGCTCAGCAGTGGGAGGACCGGGAGAAGGGGTGGGGGAGAAGAACTGGGAATGCCAGTGCTTGGCCACTTGGACAGGAGACCCCCCCAGAGACCCACAGCAAATCAGCCGCCGAGAGAGAGGCTCCAGGAAGAGGCGAATTCCAAAATATGACGGCAGGACCTGACAGACAGGTGGTGGCAGCACTGTGAGCCACCCGGCATGTCTGCTGCCCACTGACCAGGGCAGGGGCTTGAGCGTCCTCAGTTCTCATGAAAACAAGGGGCGGAGAAACCTGTGCTAAAGTCAAACACCTGGTCCAATTGTGTGTCCAGAGGTGGCTTTCTGCGGGAAAGTCTGGTTCCATGTCAAGTTGCCCCCAGGACCCTCCTGCTTCTGACCAGCTGAATGAACCATGAGCTTTTCTGAAGGCGGCAGAGGACCTGGGTTAGTTCCGTGGTGGAGTGCTGCCTGGCGGGAGATCCCCGGGACCACCAACGCTGTTGAGGGTCGTCGCCACAGCCCTGCCGTTTGTGATCCCGGTATCACAACCAAAGGGCGCCAGTTCTTGCACACACATGCGTGACCCCTGGTTACCACATCAGCAGAGGCAAGGCAAAGTATGGGAAGGAAGAAGGTGCCAGAAGTACCTTGGGGGGTGGGGCAGTTTCTCAAAAGCTCCCCCCGCCCCTCTGCCTGGCCATGGCAAACTCTGTGCTTGCCCAGAGACACCAACTTTCTCCAGTCCACGGTGGCCTCTGACTCAGTCTACACAGAGATGCTCCCTTCTGCCGGAGGCAATGCCCCCCTCCCCCCATTGCTCTCTGCCTTGCTTCCTCCCTGCCCCTCATCATGCCTCCTCTGGCTCATTTGTGGAACGCGTGCCTCCTCTCTGGACTACAAGACACCAGAAAGGAAGGCCCAGGTGGTTTCAGTCACCGAGGTTGACTCTGCACCTAGACGTCTTGGCACATCATCCTCTGCATTATGAGAAAACATGTCCTGAGGAATGGGTCCGCTGTGAGGGCAGCAGAGACCAAACCTTTCCCTCCTCTTCTTCCCTGTTGCTGCTAGAGCTCACCACCAGCAGAGCTCAAGATGCAGAGCTGCTGGGAATGTGCCCATCACGTGGCAGGGCTGGGGGCTGAACTGCGAGCTTCACACTTGCAAGGCAGGTGTTCTCAGCTCCTGTGTCACCCTTCCAAGCCCCTAGAAGCATCTTTGTTTGTTTCTGGGATCACATCTGGCAGTGCTCAGGGCTCACTCCTGGCTCTGCACTTAGGGATCACTCCTGGTGGGAAATCAGGGGGACCATATGGGTGCCAGGATGGAACCCATTCCTGCTTCTCCCTATACCGCTGGGATGCTCTGTCCCAGTTCTTATGTCTAGACTTTATTTCTTGGTGAACTCTCATGGTGGGAAAACCAGGAAGTACTTTTGTCCTCACTTTTGTCCTCACTACTTGGCTGGTAGTGAGGACAAAGATTCAAGCAAAATGAAAGGGGAATATTTTGATAAGTTAATTATGGGGATAAGAGACCATCTATGAATATTTAAAAAAAAGATTAAAAAAAAATAAACTGCAAGAATGAAATCCACATCTTGTGTGCCATGCCCTCCCTAACTAACCCTGTAAACACTATTTGTAACTGTTTCTTGATGACAGGGCTTTAGAGCAGTGTTTCTCAACTCCATTGGTCAGGAGGACAAATGAAGTGAAAAGCATATAAAAGGGGGAGGGAGGGAACAGGATACACGAACACTATGGTACAAGACTAGAAGGTCAATTGGTAGGAGATGGGTCAAGGGCAGTCACATCAGGGGAACAGGGCTGGAAGGATACAGGAAAGGCTGAGAAACACTTGCTTGGTACATTATCCCATTTCCCCCTCCCCCCACCTGGCTCCTGACAACCTCACCCTCAACAAGTCCCCCTGCAAAGGGCCATGCACTCAGGCCTAGGTATACCGATTCACTCTGGAGGACGTTTTTGTTTGGGCTTGTGTTGGGAGTGCAGCCTTCCTTGCTACTTTCTGGGCTATTACAATTCCAGTGGTTTGGTAAGTATCACGTATCCTTGGGGCTGGTAAATGGTTGGCGGTACCTCTCTTTTCCCATCTTGGCCAACCTTGGCCAACCTCAATTTATAGAAATCTTACAACTTCACAAAGGTTCTGTCTCTCTCTCTCTCTCTCTCTTCTCTCTCTCTCTCTCTCTCTCTCTCCCTCCCTCCTGTGATTAATTAGGGTCACTTGGCCAGAGAGACAGTACAGGGCTCAAGGCTCTGACCTTGCATACAGCTGACTCCAGTTTGATCCTCAGCACTGCATATGGTCCCCCAAGCACCACCAAGAGTGATCCCAGGAGTTAGCCCTGTTAGATGTGGACCAGAAAACAAAAAATCCTTAAAATATTCAGGCTACCATTAGAGACACGTTGGAAATACCGCAGGTGTTCAGGGGCCATGAGGGCTACATCAGGCACTACGGAGAAAAGTATTGGTAGAGACCAAACCCCAGCGCCATCACATACGCTAGGAATATGTTCTCCCACTTAAGTCACACTCCAGTCTTTTTAAAGTGCCATGAGATCTCTCTCCAAACAGTATAAGGCTGATGTGGATGTGTGACGGCTGAAGGGTGAAGGATTCCAGGATGCCCTGTGCTCTCCGCTGGCCTCTCTCCCTCAACTCCCAAGGTGCCGGCACGATGTTGAAACCACGGTTTTATTCAACTCCTCTCACCTAATTAGTGAAAAAATGGCTCACTCGCTCAATTTAACAGCAGACTCCAAATTATTAATTATCCAGACCTTCTGGTGACTGTGAGTCCCCTGTGCTTACATCTTTATGCAGATGAAACTGAGACAACTTCTTCTAGAGGTAAACTGTAGAAACTAATAATATGAATGGCTTCTCATTTGATTTTTACAAATTATTACTGTGTTTAGCACAGTAAGTAAGGCGTTTGCCTTGCACATGGTCAACCTTTGCACATGCTTCGATTCCTCCGCCCCTCTCGGAGAGCCCAGCAAGCTACCGAGAGTATCCCACCCACACGGCAGAGCCTGGCAAGCTCCCCGTGACGTATTTGATATGCCAAAACCAGTAACAGCAAGTCTCACAATTTCTTGTGAGACGTTACTGGTGCCTGCTCCAGCAAATCGATGAACAACGCTACAGGGCTACTGTGTTCCATGTTTCTTTAAAGTCAACCTATAAAGATTCCCTGCGGCATTTAGCACATATACAAGTTCTATAGCTTACACAAAAGCCTTGGTAGTCCTTGTCTCTTGGATGGCTTGGAAACGACCACCAGCAGCGATAAGATGAAACAGAACTCAACCTGGGTAAGTCTGACTGTGGACACATGCTTAAGGGCAGGAACCAGGAACTGCTGGGCTGAAGTACACATACAGATCAAAAAGGCCAGGAGTGGGGGCGTAGCTCAGCGAGAGAGCATTTGCCTTGGACATGAGATCCCGGGATCAATCTCTGGCACCACCGAAAAAAGGAAAAAGAAAACAAAAAGCAAATCACCCTCCCCTAAAAACCAGCAGACCAAAAAACCAATAAAAAAATACAGCAATCCTAAATATAATCAGGTCTGAGAAAGAGGTTTAAAACCAAAAGACTGGGGAGAAAAAGATGATTAAATATAAAATGGTTAATCTGACTCTTCAAAGGAATAGAAATAACGTCAGATATAAATCCATTTGTACTTTCCAAGAGCAGACAGTGTATGAACTAAAATAGTAAGGACAAGGTATAACAGAACCTCAAGCAGGAATTTAGAAGGGTTTTAGAAATTTTATGTATTTTATTGTCCTTGGTAAGAAACCAAGGCTAGCTGACTCTTTAAGAGAATGTCTCAGCTACTATTAGTAGAGTTGAGAAATCAGAACCTTGAGAACTGGCCACAGATTTGAGGCAGAATAAATGAAAGAGAACAGATTTGGCGAGAAGATTTCATCAAAAGCCTAACATAGCTTGCTTCTAAATCAGTGCTTTAATTAGCCATTAGATTTGAGTTATAATTTGTATATATTTTTCTGTTTTAATCTTGCCACCAGCAGGTAGGGTTTTTGCCTTGCATGCAGCCAACATGGCCAACCCAAGTTCGATTCCTCCGCCCCTCTCGGAGAGCCTGGCAAGCTACGGAGAGTATCTTGCCTACACGGCAAAGCCTGGCAAGCTACCCATGACATATTCGATATGCCAAACACATTAACAACAAGTCTCACGATGGAGATGTTACTGGGCCCTCTCGAGCAAATCGATGAACAACGGGGTGACAGTGACAGTGACAGTGAATCTTGCTACCAAGATTTCTTATATATATTTTTTCAAATCATTATAATGCAATCACTTCAAGGATAGTGTACATTTAAGTTCTAATCACTGTATCACTGTATCACTGTCATTCGGTTGATCATTGAATTACTCATGCGGGCGCCAGTAATGTCTCTATTCCTCCTAGCCCTGAGATTTTAGCAGCCTCTTCTTACTTGTCTTTCCCCAACGATTGGAGGCTCTTTCAGGGTCAGGGGAATGAGACCTGTTGTCATTACTGTATTTGGCATATCGAATACGCC